CTGGCAGGTACGGCAACGGCTCCGTGGCGCCACGTGCTGCTCCTCCTCTACCGGCACTGAGCCCACAGCGTCCACCGGCCACAGTTCCCCGTTACTGCTCAATAGGAGCTGCAGGAGGGGTGTGTGCAGGCAAGGACAGCGTGTGGAGACCCCCTGCTCTGCCTCTCTCACTGGCTGCAGGGACATGCCCGCCACGTCCAGCAGCAGCAATCGCCACGGGGCTGATGACTCCAGCCAGGGCAGGTGCGGCAGTTTAGAATTCACGGCCCGAAGAATTACATGTAAGCGCAAGAGAAATGAAAGCGATGAAACGCACAGACCAGTCAGAAACCCAGAATACCCCACTCTGCAAGCAGCAGCAGCAGGAACAACAACCCATGTGTGTGTTGGGTCAGGAGAGGAGAGGGAAGGACAGGGTTTGTGTGAGTGTGACAGAGACACACACTGTGTGAGTGTGACAGAGATTTGCATTGCGAAGCTCCCTCCATCCCCTTCTCTCTGGGTCGGGATGGGATACAGGAGTGGGGGGAGGAGGGACACCCTGGCATCAGCACCCCCCTCTTCTCCCTCCCACACCCTGCACAGCCACTCCCACTCCCTCCCACACCCTGCCCAGGGGGGCAGCTCCAAGGCAGAGGGCAGGAGCAGCAGGACTGTGGCAGGAGGGACAACTGAAGTGCCAGCTCTTGAGAGCTTCCTAGTCAAGCCAGTCAGGATCCCCTGTCAGAGGCTCCAAGATCGACCCGTCGATCCCGATCGACTGGTTGATGACCACTGCCTTATGGGGAACCCCAGTGGGCGGGGCTAATTAAAAGCTGGGGGCGTGGCCTGGCAATGTGCGGACTGGCGGTTGGGAACCGCTGCTCCGGAAAGCCTGTGCGTGTGCCTCAGTTTCCCCGGGGCACTGCACTAATACTTCACAGGTGAGGAAAATTTTAGGTGTGACTCTCACTGAAGGAGGCTGCCCCGGCCCCAGCACGTACGCAGTGGCCAATGCCCCTCCTAACCTGAGCAGATGTCTCCTTTTTGCCCGGGAAGCAGAACCAAAGCCCGGGGAAGGGGCTCGGGCCGGGCTGTGTGGTGTTCGTCCCAGCTGGTTTGGGGCGCAGGGGGAGAGTTCGGGCCCTCGTTCTGATTGTACTGACTGCTTCTGTGAGCAAGACGCGAGGAGTCGTTCTTCCGCCTGCTCTGCACGGATCAGGCCTCAGCTGGAGGACTGTGGCCAGTTCTGGGCAGCATATTTCAGGAGAGATGTGGAGAAATGGGAGAAAGAAGAAGAGTAACAGAATGATGGAAGATCTAGAGAACATGAGCTAGGAGGGGAGACTGAAAGAATTGGGCTTGTTTAGTTTAGAAAAGGGAAGACCAAGAGGAGACAGGACACCGGTTTTCAAGTACTTAAAAGGATGCTACAAGGAAGAGAGAGAAAACTTGTTCTCCTTAGCCTCTGAGGACAGGACAAGAAGCAATGGGCTTAAATTGCAACAAGGGAGGTTTAGGTTGGACATTAGGAAAAACTTCCGGGGTGGTTCAGCACTGGAATAAATTGCCCAGGGAGGTTGTGGAATCTCCATCCCTGGAGATATTTCAGAGCAGGTTGGACAGACACCTGTCAGGGATGCTCTAGACCAGTGGTCCACAATGCGAGAGTGCCCGCCGGGCCATTTCTGTGCACCCGCCAAGTGATTGGGGCCAGCCCTGCCCCCGGGCACGCAGCA